CTCGGGGACTGCTCCCGGAACCTGGGCAGCTGGCAGAGCGAGGCCTAAGCCCACGGACAGCCTCCTGGGACCAGCCTGGTACCCCTGGGCGGGAGCCATCCCAGCCAATCCTGCCCTCTTCTTCCCCTTCCCCTATTCCTGTCCCCCTTCCCAGCACTGAGGGACCAACCCTGCACTGCAACCTGACCAATAACAACCACCTTCCTGATGGCGGTGGCATCAGCAGGGGGGAAGCTGCAGGCCCCAGTGGGGAGCCACGGAACAGGTAGAGACGAATGTGTGCACTGGTGCCTCCCCTCGAACCGCTGAGCAGAAACCGGACCTCACAGCTGACTGGGAACTGGACACGCGGAAGAGCTGCTGGCTGCATCAGGGAACAGGAGGAGTAAGAGGGTGGGGGTCGAGAAGAGTCAGAGTCAGTGGGTATGAGGCAGTTGAATGGGCAAGCCTTGCCTCAGGGGACTAGAACCTTCCAGGATCTGGAGCCCAGGAGAGCCACACTGCTGGGGTTAAAGTGAATGGAGAAGCAAAGTGGGTATCTCCGCCATGAACCCCCCTTTCTCCTAGGAACATGAGTTCAAGGGACTCAGCCCTGCATAGAGAGCCCCAGAAGAGTGAACAGTCTTCCAGATCTGGGCAAGCCATCCTGCACAGAGGCCAGTGGGACAGCTTTTCTCTGTCTACCTGTTGGGTGGGCAGAGCCACCAGGAGCCCAAAAACAGGAGGAGTGGTCTGGCCCCCAGAAACCATCTCCCACTCTGAGCCTTCCAGAGCTTTAGCCTCTCTTCATCATCTTACCCCACAGAAACCACAGCCAGGGGTCAGGCCAGGCTCCCAGATTCCTGAGGATAGGGACTTCCTGCATTTACTGATGGGGGACAACTGTGAGGTGAAGGAGGAGCCTGGTTGCCTGATAGAGGATGGGGTCAAGGGACGGTGGGCAAGTCCTCACTCAGGAGTGGGGGGTGTAGGCTGGCCCGCCCCCAGGGCTTGTCCACCAAGCTCCTCCCTCCCCTCCAAGGCCCTCAGCAGCACCTGTGGGTGTCAGTATTACCTGAGCCTAGGCCAAAGCTAGCCCAAGGCTGGGGAGGGGATGAAACTCCAGGTCAGAATGTGAGGTCTTGGTCTGTGATTTAAGGTGTTGCATGTGGAATCTTGAACTGTATGTGTAGTTTCTAGTGGAGAAATCAAGGCTCTGATCATTTTGTTTTTAGTATGAAAATGTGATTTCCTTTCTGTTTGTAACTCATCATAGAAACATTGTGGTGGGAGGAGAGGGGATAGTCTACTGCTGATGAGGGAAACACCAAAGATCTACATCATTAAAATGATGACATGCCCCTCGCCAGGCTCCTCTGTTTGTTTCTGTGGAGGATGGAGGAGGGGTGGTAATTGGGATATGGGGGGCATTGAACTGAGCTGGGCCCAGGTACTCCCAGGCACTATTTCTAGTGCTGTCCTAGCTGGGGAGCCCTGTCTGACCCTCAGCCAGCGCTGATCGGGTGAGGGTTGCCACCCCTGCTTCACCCACTCCCCTGTGCACCGCCGCCTCCCGCTTCCCAGGCACGCTGCAGATTGGGTCACCTTCCAGTGACAGGTGGGCATGTATGCATGATGGAAGGTCACTCATCCTACTTGCTTCCCACCCGGGAACACAAGCCTGGAGTGAAGATGTGACAGCCAAAAAGTTGGATCTCCTCCAGTCCTGGGAAACCACCCACAGCGGGTGTCCGGGTGACCAGGTATAGGGAGGTTGGTCTTGTCTGCACGTATCCCCCAAAGGTGCCATTTGCTGGCTGCTCAAGTGTCTCTTTTTCTGTGTCTTCCACACAGTGGTTAAAGCCGAAAGGCCTGCTTTTTCCATGGGCCTTGGCTACTTCAAAGTTTCAAGCCAGTTAAAAAGTGATAGAAGGACATTTGCCCCAACTCTTAGCTATACAGGAAAATCAGAGCAACCCCAGGGCTTTCTGCCAGCAACAAATACTTGAGTATTTTTTATATGGCCAGCTGTGCCCCTGATGCTATGGGGCATGCAGAATTATAGGTTCTGCTGCAACAGAGACAAAACTGAAAGATCAATAAGTGGGCAAGGAAGTAATACAAAACTTAAAGAGTGATATAGTTAGGAATGCTCAAATTTTCTGGAAAATTACATGTAACAGTGGACTCTGGACTAAAAGACACATCAACTAGTTGTGTGACTTTGGGCAAGGCCATTTGCCTTTTCTGGGCCTCATTTTCCCTTGTTAGGATGCAGGGTTTGCACTGTGCACCTTCCTAAAAGTTACTTCTTGCCCTATCATCACGAATCAGTCAAGCTCAGAGGGCACAGAAGTGCTTAGAGGAGGCATCCTTTAAGAGGAAGAAGCTAAGAAGGAGAAGGAATCTCCACTGCAACCTTTGTCCTCCACCCACGTACTCTTCCCCCAGTAGGAGGAAGTCTGACAGTGGGGACTATTTGTTGAGTGTACCACATGCCAAGGACTCAGGGTGTGTTATCTCTCTGAATCCTCCTCCTCTAAACCCTCTAAGGTGGTTACTACTATTACCCCCAGACCACACTACTCCACGGGTAGAGCCAAGGTTTGAACTCAGGTCGTACATGATTCCAGAGCACACCCCTCAGCACACCCCTATAATTCCTTATGGAAATAAGACAAGGTGTAGAAGAAATAGAACCCTGACTTGTTCTGTTGCTTTAGGAAAAAGGGTAGGAGGAGGCCTTGTGGATGAGGTGGTCCAAATTCCATCCTGCCTGCCCTGCTCTGCTGTCTCTGGCCAAGGATGGACCCAACCCCTCCCTGCTGGAGGCCCTTGTCAACATCAGCCATTAAATAGCTCTCACCCAGTGACAGAGCCTCCCTGGTGGTAGGCTCTGCCTCCTTTGCAGGGCCCCTTGCATATCACTCCTAGGCTGTAGGGTCAGCAGGGCAGATTGGCAATCCCTTTTGGAGATGAGGACATAGGTTCAGAGAAGTTCTGTGACTTTTCTATGGACCTAGTTGGGTCAAAGGCAGAACAGAGAAACTAAACCAAGTCTTGGTTCCCAACTTAGCTTTCCAGGGTTCCGCTGTGAATTCTGGGATTGAGGGGTTGGGGAGGGGGCCAAAACCCCACCCCATAGCAGGTATTGTGGAGAAACTAAAGAGGCTTTGCCTGACAGCTTCTAGAAGAGCTCAAGTCAATGATTGGAGGCATTTCTGGTTTCTGTGGCCTCTGGTCCTTGGCCTTGCTTGTCTTCCCATCTGACTATTTTAAGGATCTGTCCCCCCCATACACACATAGGCACACACTCTTGGTCTCTCCTAGGACCACGACCCTTCTGGACCCTAGAGGGATATGGCAAAGTGCAACAAGCACAAGACTGAACCAACTTTCCTCATCTGTGAAGTGGGGCAAGAACAACAGTAGTTCTTTTGGCTCATGGGAGACCAGATTACTCATGTAAAGGAAGATGGCTTCTCACTCTAGCCCAGCCAGTCAGCTCCAGCCCTGAAGTTCCCAACTCTGATGAGCCCCATCCCTGGCGCTGGGAGCATTGGGGACCCGACCTCTGCCGCCACCTTCCACCTTCGGCATGGAGAACCCCACATGGAGAGCTCCGCAGCACTGGCTCTTGCTTGGGTCCCTTCCCCTTCTCAACCAGCAGGCTCCTGCCTATTCTCCGCGTTGCCCCCGCCCCACCTCCCCCTACACGCCCACCCCACCCCCTTCCTGCCCCACGCTGGCCTGTGGGGGAGGGTGGAGAGGGGAGGGGATCTGAGTTGTTTTCCCAAGAAAAGGAACCAGCGTCGTAAGGTTAATCGGGTGTTCGCGCTGAGAGAGTGTGGGGTGACAGGCCTCGGGGCCCGGGTGCGGAGCGGCGCGTCCGACCCTGGCCGCCCCCAGGAAGGGCTGTCTCGGACTGAGACAGCGCGGGAGCCGGGTCAGGCTGAGCCGAGGCTACTCCGCCAAAGCCGAGGCGGAGCTCTCCGAGGTGCTGAAGCCGCCCCACTTTGCGCTTTGCGCAGACAAGGCCCGGCTTCCCGAGGCTCCAGCCTGTGCGGTTCTCAGAGACCTCTGGGACTGGTAGCTCGCTCTCTCTTATCCCGGGCTCCGCCCCAGATGACCTTGGGCACCTGGTTTTCCCTCACAGGCAGCGGGGGACTCAGTCTCCAGACCGCGGCTGGATGGGCGGCGCGTCCCATCGTGGGCCTGGGAGACCCGGTGCGCACCCCTTCCCCGGCCGGAGCGCGGGAGCGGGGAGCCGAGCGGGTGGGGCGTATTGTCTGCGATGGGCGGGCTCTTCTCTCCCTGGCCGACCCCCGCCAGGCTCCTCTCCTGCGCTTTCCCAGGCCCCGACGGCGCCCCTCCTCTGGGCTGCCGGGTGTCCAACACGCAGCCCCAAGGCTGGAAACTCCCAGCTCTCTGCCCCGACGGACCGGACTGCGGTGGCAGAGCCCACCTCACCCTCCCGTAACCTCCTGCTGGGCCGAGCACGCGCGCCTCCGCGGTCAAACCGCGAGCGGGGCCATGCAAGGGGCGTGAGGTCCCAGACAGGCGCGGACACACCTCGGGGTCCCGGGTGCCTGGTCAGGGCGGAGGCGGGAGCGCTGCCAGACCCGGCTGCCAGCTCCCTCCCCAGCCCGCGAGGGGGCGCCGCGTCCCCATGACAACGCGGACACCCCCACCCCCCCGGAGGGCAGCGCCCCCTGTAAATCAGCACCGGCGACTGTGGGCGGTGCCCTCTCGGTGCCGGAGCTGGGAACTGCTGGCCGGCTCCAGGTAGGGGCACGAGCCGCTAGGGTCTCCGACGCCCCGGGTGGTGACCCCCGCGCGTCGCCGCTGGGTGACCGGCCCGGGGCGGGCGGCGCGGCCCCACCACGATTGGCTGCTTCCCCGTGACATCACGCGGCTCGGGGAAAAGTGCGAGCGTGAGCGCGAGTCGGAGCCACAGCGCCCGGAGCTGCGGGCGGAGCAGGGGCCGCCCCTCGGCACCCCGTCCCCGCCCCCGGCCCACGGCCCGGCCGCCTGCCCCGCCGGCCCGCGGGGCCTCCCTTCTGTCCCGCCGTCTGTCCGGCGCAAGGGGAGGGGGCAGAGGCGGAGGGTAAGTGACTCCGCGGCGGCGCGGGGGCGGGGGGCTCGGTTGGAAGAGAAAGACCTGGGTCTCTGGGACCCTCTGAGGCTCCCTAGAGGCGGGTCCTGCTGGGACGGGGCCGGACCTCTTCAGGGGAGAGCGCGGTGCTGGGAGCGGCGGAGGGCCCGGGGGTGGGGGACCCCGCTGGGAGAAAGGCCCGGGGTCTCTCTGACGCTTCTCCAGGTGCGCCTCCGGGAAGGGATGGGCATTCAGGAGGTCGTGGGTGGGGAATGCCTGCTCACAGCCCCCACGGAGCCAGGGGCAGCCGTCGGGGGGTGGGACCCCGCATTCCAGCCCTCCCACTGGCAGCTCTGCGGGCACTGGAGCCCCAAAGAGCCTTTTTCCCGCCTGTCTCCCCGCCCTCCCTCCCTCTCTCCCCCGCGCTGCCAGCCCACTCCGGCCCATGGAGTCCTCCGTCAACGACCTTGAGCCCCGACGGAAGACACCCCTGCCCGTTCCCAGCACCCCTCCCCCACTCCAGGACTACCCCCCAGCCGTTGCCTTTGCTCTAAGCCTGGGAGATCCAGCCTGTCCAAGCCCCCAACCCCCACTCCCGGCCCCACCGCGGAAGTGTTGGGCACAATGTCGGTGCCTAATCTCCCTGCGTCCCTCTTCCTCCCCTGAACTCTGGAGTCTCCTCTCCCGCCCCAGGGACAGATCTAGAGGCCACAGTCTTCCCAGAGCCCTGGAGTGAACGCCTAAAAATCGAGGACCTACGCCCCAAAGCACCCTGCAGGCGGCCGGAGCACCCCTTCTCCTCTCGTCCGGGGAAGGGAGGGGTCGAGGACCCGGGAAAGCCCGGTGCCCACGCCCAGAGGCTACAGGAACTGCGTGCGGGAGGGTGGAGGGAGGACGGGCCCGGAGAGCCAGGGCCCCCTCGACCGCCGCGGAGACGCGGATGAGCCTCTAGATGGGCCCAGGAGTAAGCCCGAACCCGGCCCTCGACCCCGGCCGACCCCAGTAAGAGAAACCGGGGCCCACTTTGTCCGCTGGGGCTAGACAACGCCTCCGGGGAGTGCAGGGCGAGGAGTGGAGGGGGAGAACCTTACACTCGCCTGACCCAAGCCGGTCCGGGCCGCCGCACCGTGGGCGTACCGCCGGCGCCCTCTCGCCGGGAGACCCGGAGGCTTTTGTAGATAACGCGCCGCCGTAGGGCGCCCCGAGTCCAGCCGGGTCTTCCTCGAGGCCGGGTTGGGCGACTCTCGCAGCGGCCCTCGACAGACAGAAGTCAATCCCAGGCTGGGACTCCGCGCCCCATCTTTGAGGACGGCGCCGACACCTCTGGGCGCCCAGCTAAGACGGTGTCCCCATGTCAGGGGGCCCGTCGCAGCCCGTAGTGTAAGGCCTCCTCGTCTTGCCCCTGCGGCCTTTTTCCACGGCCAGGCGCGATCGGGACGCCGGCTTGTGGCCCGACACTCTGCACTCAGGCAGACAGCTAAGGTCTAGGCTGCGTCTCCCAGCTGGGGTGTTTGAAATGTGACCGGCCGCCCACTGCCTGCACTGCACTTGCCGTGAGCACGAGTTCGCAGGTCCGGAGACACTCGAACCGTGTGCATCCTCCAGGCCACAGCACCCCAGGCACGCACACGCATGCACATGCACGTGTCCACATGGCGCGGCATGCTCACGCGCTCACGGGCACACTGGTATCCGGGCGTGGCGGTGCGCACACACATGCAGACAGCTACTAGCGTCTACTCGCGCTCCCCCGTAATCACACACAAACAGCACTCGCACTCGCGTTCCCACCCACACGTTCCTCGCCGGATGCCGGGTGGAATTCGGGCGCCCTTAACTTTCCCACCCTTGAACCCCGCGCGAAGCCGAGGGCAGCTCCGGGGCGGTGTCTGGAGGGGTCTGGAGAGGGGGCCCCACGTCCCTCCCTTGGGAGGCTCTATATGGGGGCTCCTGAGTATTCGCAGGCGCGTGGGAGTTGAGGGCGCTGGCGGACAGCGGCCGCACGCTCCGGGTCCCGAGCGGGCACCCAGGGACCGACATTGCCATCTAGCGGTGCGCGCAGCCTCCGGTGCTCGCCTCCCCAGATCCCGGGCGGGCCTGAATTCCAGGGAAACGCGCTGGAGGGGACGGCGATCAGTCGGAATGTCTGCGGGTGACCCGGAGAGGTCCAGAGAGGCGGAGTCGTGGAGACACCGAGCCTCGCTTTGTCTGCAGCTGGCAGCTCCTTCAAACAGGCCTTAAGAACAGGACTTGAACCACCTGCCATCCAATTGTACCGGCTCAGAAGTCTCTTGTCTTCTGGGAAAACTTAAGTCAGGGAGCCAGCGGGAATTGGCAGGGGATTGTACCCAAGCCTCACATAATGGTCCCCAGGCGTGTGGGTTTGGGGACGGGAGAGATCAGAGGCCTCTCTGAGCAGTAGCACCTTGGAGTTAAGAAGGCTGCTCCGGGGTTCTAACCCTTGCCCCTGGGGTGACTTTGGGCAAGTTAAATAACACCATCTTCATCTATAAGAGGATATTTACGTCTGTAAAATGAGGATACTAATAGTACCTACCCTTTCAGACTGTTGTAAGGATTAAACCAGATAATCTTTACCAAAGGCTCAGAGAGATTCCTTACTCATAGTTAACACTCAATAAACACGAGCTATTATGTTTTCTTATTTAGCACCTCTAGACCATTTGTTATTATCCCACCTGCCTGTGTCCTGGCCCTGGGAGGCTAAAGTGAGAGTTCCCTTGGGGCTGGCTGATCACTCCTGCCCACTTTGTCCCTGCCCGCACACCCGGGGGCTGGTGGAGGAGGGCAGCCTTTCCGTGCTGGGGGCGACTGTCCTCCCAGCACAGAGTGTGATGGCTCAGCTTCCACTTGAGAGGCTCTCAGAGCTGAACGGGGCTGTCAGAGGCCCTGAGAGAGGGTGGTATCTGGTCTTTGCCCTTGACTCACTGTTTGACCTTGGGAGGTGGCACCACCTGCTCTCAGCCTCTCTCCTCCTATGAACCAAGGATGTAGAACAGGAGAACTATCAGGCTGGGTCTGAGATGGTGGAGTTGGGGGACCAGGGTCAGCCTTGGGAGGTGACCCTGGCACTTGGCCCCAGCCTGCAGAGCATTTTCCTGTTCAGGTGTAGAGATCTAGGAATCAGTGCGCTGCTGGTCCCTGGAGCAGCTGTGGAGGCCATCCCGAGACAGGGTCCTCGCTATCTTGCAAATGAGAGGCGGTGCAGGAAGGTGGGGTGGCTTGTGTCAGGCCACACAGCTAGAGCCCAGGCTGCGGGGCTGCGGGCCCTCTCTGTCGCGCACAGACGCACAGAGCTGCGTATGTCTGCGACCATGCCTGCTGGGCTGGCGTGGCTGTGATGGGCCCGTGTGCGTATGTGGAGCGGGGTGTGTGTTGGCGGGTGTGAAGGAGGCTGGCTGAGCGGCTGCCCTGGCACAGAGCTCCGGCGTGGGCCTCCCTCACATGTAGGGAAGAGGAAGAGGGGCAGGAGAGCTGGCAGGGAGCCTGGGTGGGAGGGAGGGCAGGCTGGGAGGGGCCTTGTGCCTGGGGACCCCAGCTGGGGAGGGGCAGGGATAGGCTCAGGGGCTGACCAGAGGCTCCCCACAGCCCTTCTCTGCCTCCAGGGACAATCCTTACACGGTGGGTTCCCAGTCGGGCCTCAGTTGCCTCTCCGGAGCTGACATCCCCCGGCTGCCCCTACACTCCCCACCCCAGTCCCAGGCCCTGACGCTGGAGCTGAGGGCTCAGGAAAGGGGATGCCACAGCCGCAGGTCCCTCCCTGAGCCTCTCCCGCAAGGCACTGTCCTTGAGGTGCCAGCTCCATGCCATCCCCCTCTCCCGCCACATACTTATCCCCACCAGCAACATGTCAAGAGCTGCGGAACCTTGGTCAGGTTATTTAACATCTCTGTGCCTCAGCTTCCTCATCTGTAAGTAGTTAAAAATAATAATAATAATAATAACAGTATCTACCTCACAAGTTTGTTTTGAGGATGAAATGAGTTAATGCTATGAAAAGTGTGGAAATTGCCAGCACTTAGTAGACGATACATGTTAGCGGCTAATATAGACTCTCGTATTATTGTCTTTGTCTCCAGAGCCTTTTGTAGGGACAGGAGAGCAGGTCCCCTGGGAACGTGTTGAGAATGACAGAGTGGGTGAATGGATGGACACCTCTCACATGCTGGGGGCCTCTGGGACCACCCGTCCCCTCCGCCTCTCCCGGCCTCTACCCACACTGGCCTCTGCCCAGGCCTTGCACGAGTCTCTGGGCCTTTGCTCTTGCCATTGCCCTTGGCGGGACCACACTCTGCAGCTCGTCATGTGGCTGCCTCCTCCTCGTCACCCAGACGACCCGCTGTGCGAGGCCTTCCCCAATCAGCCGGCCAGGAGGCATCGCTGTCCTGTCTTCTGACTCATCAGCCGTCACCCCGCCTTATTTCTTTCTAGTGCTCTCTTTGTTGCGCACGTGTTTGCTCGTCTCCCCCAGATAAGATGGGGACCGTGTGCGTCTCGTGCACCTCTGCAGCCCAGCACCTAGGCAGTGCTTGGCACCTAGTAGGCCCTTGAAAAATGTTGAATGAATGGACGAATGAGGGAGGATGGGCCAGAGTTCTCTGAAGTCTGCTAGATGATGTTCCTCTGTCACCTTGACCCCAGGCTACCTGCGCAGCACCCCTTGTCGTCTTCAGCAGTTCACCCCTTTTCTCTCCTTCCTCCGCCAGACGCTGCCGTCCACCACGCCCACCAACATGGCCAACTTCACGCCCGTCAACGGCAGCTCAGGCAACCAGTCCGTGCGCCTGGTCACGTCAAGCCACAACCGCTACGAGACAGTGGAGATGGTATTCATCGCCACCGTGACAGGCTCGCTGAGCCTGGTAACTGTCGTGGGCAACATCCTGGTGATGCTGTCCATCAAGGTCAACAGGCAGCTGCAGACAGTCAACAACTACTTCCTGTTCAGCCTGGCCTGCGCCGATCTCATCATCGGCGCTTTCTCTATGAACCTCTACACCGTGTACATCATCAAGGGGTACTGGCCGCTGGGCGCCGTGGTCTGTGACCTGTGGCTAGCCCTGGACTACGTGGTGAGCAATGCCTCGGTCATGAACCTTCTCATTATCAGCTTTGACCGCTACTTCTGCGTCACCAAGCCCCTCACCTACCCCGCCCGGCGCACCACCAAGATGGCAGGCCTCATGATTGCCGCTGCCTGGGTCCTGTCCTTCGTGCTCTGGGCGCCTGCCATCTTGTTCTGGCAGTTTGTGGTGGGCAAGCGGACAGTGCCTGACAACCAGTGCTTCATCCAGTTCCTGTCCAACCCGGCCGTGACCTTCGGCACAGCCATCGCTGCCTTCTACCTGCCCGTGGTCATCATGACGGTGCTCTACATCCACATCTCCCTGGCCAGCCGCAGCCGGGTCCACAAGCACCGGCCCGAAGGCCCAAAGGAGAAGAAGGCCAAGACCCTGGCCTTCCTCAAGAGTCCCCTGATGAAGCAGAGTGTCAAGAAACCGCCACCAGGAGAAGCCGCCCGGGAAGAGCTGCGCAACGGGAAGTTCGAGGAGGCTCCTCCGCCGGCCCTGCCCCCGCCGCCACGCCCAGTGGCCGACAAGGACACTTCCAATGAGTCCAGCTCAGGCAGTGCCACACAGAACACCAAGGAGCGACCACCCACAGAGCTGTCGACCACAGAGGCCACCACACCTGCCATGCCTGTCCCTCCCCTGCAGCCACGGGCCCTCAACCCGGCCTCAAAATGGTCCAAGATCCAGATTGTGACGAAGCAGACAGGCAATGAGTGTGTGACAGCCATCGAGATCGTGCCTGCCACGCCAGCTGGCATGCGTCCTGCGGCCAACGTGGCCCGCAAGTTTGCCAGCATTGCTCGCAACCAGGTGCGAAAGAAGCGGCAGATGGCAGCCCGGGAGCGCAAGGTGACCCGGACCATCTTTGCCATTCTGCTGGCCTTCATCCTCACCTGGACGCCCTACAACGTCATGGTCCTGGTGAACACCTTCTGCCAGAGCTGCATCCCTGACACAGTGTGGTCCATCGGCTACTGGCTCTGCTACGTGAACAGCACCATCAACCCTGCCTGCTACGCTCTCTGCAACGCCACTTTTAAAAAGACCTTCCGGCACCTGCTGCTATGCCAGTATCGTAACATTGGCACTGCCAGGTAGGCAGCAGGGGTGCCCTAGGAGGTGCTGGTGTCGCGTGTGTGCGCTGGGGGACCACGTGGCTCACAGGCTGTAGGGGAAGAGTTGGTGGCACCACTCTGGGTTCATGTTTGCTGAAGAGAACCGAGGTCTCCAAGGCCCCTTGGGGCTCAAGAGGCTCTGGCTGGATTCAGAAACCAGATCTGTGCTCGGGCTGAGGCAGCTCTGAACTGGGACCGCCTGGCCCATCTCTGTCGCCGTGCTTCAGGGAGCTGGGGGCACTGGCCTGGCTAGGCATCTGCCCCACTGTGACCAACCATCAGCATAGCTGAGAGAATGGACATCTGGAGGGCAGCCGAAGCCCAGGGCCTCCTCCAGAAGAGCAAAGGGACCGCATTCCTGGGGTTCCAGCTTGGGGCCAGCACTTGGGGAAGGAGGCTCAGGAGGGGCGTAGGATGAGGTCCCGCATTTTGCTGTAATCGGTGCTTTCTGCCCCTGCACCCCTGCATGTAGGCTCAGCCCCCTCTCCCCACGTCCCACTCTGGGGCAGAAATCTCTTGCTGCAGCTACTCAGCCAGGCTGTGGGTGCATGGGTGTGGGGGTGGGCATGCCGGAGGCCAGGCAGAGTGGGCTGTGCCCCCCACCCCCTGCAGCACTGCCCCTGTCACCTCAGGATGGGGCAGCTGGGAGGTCAGGGACTCACACTCAGGAACTGAGGTCTAGCCTTCTGTAGTTCCAGGCTGAGCCGAGTGACCTACCTTGTCCTGGAGGACCCTTTTCCCCAGGAGAGGGCCTGTCCTAGGTCACAGCTAGGGTGGGGCTATGGTGGGCAGTGTTCCCATCCACCGTCCCCAAACCTCTCCCCCTCTGGCCTCTGCTGGGCAGAGGCCTGGGGCACAAGGGCACAAGGAAAGGGGGAACCTGTTGACGGGTACAAGCTTCAGTGACAGTAGGGGCAGTGGTGCGGGCAAGCAGCCCCGGGGGTCTATGCTCCCCAGTGGGCAGAACCTTCCCGATTAGCGCTGGGTTGGACCAAAAGACCTTCGACTGGGTAAGAGCAAGATGGGCACATCAGCTCCAGTGAGTCATCGGTTTGGTTCCCTTCCCCAGCCCTGGTGAGGTCCCCGGGAGAGAAGAGGGCTGAAAGGCTTAGGGACTTGATCAGGGGCACCCTTCCTGGGCCCTGGAAGAAATTTTCACAAATGTTCTGCTTTTTCCATGAGCTCTGGGAGCACTCACCACCAAGCCCCCAGACCCCTAAACCCACCAGTCCCTACAGGCTCATCTTTCCCCCCACATTCCTACCCCCAAACAAATTTCCACAGCAAACTCCCTGGGAAGGGGCTTTTATATATTAAAAAAGAAAAGCTTTTATTGGGAAAAGAAGTTGGTTTATTTGTTTCTTAGTAATGGTATCATTGTGGGGAAGAACAAAAGGGGGTACTGGGAAGGAAATCCCTTTGGGGGGGCTCGAGCTTCCCAGAATCCCTTGCCCCTCCCCACTGTGGGCACTTGGGGTGGGGGTGGGCAGTGAGCGGGAAGAGGCAGGGCATGATTGATAAAGCTAAGAGTAGACAAAAGGCACTGGTAGGTCAGATCTCCGGCCTGTGGGGAGGGCAGGGCCAGGCCCCAGGTAAAGCCAGGTGCTCCTTGGCATCGAGGCCTGGTTTTTAGTCCTTCCCCTTCCCTTTCTTGGCTGTAAAACAAGAAAGAAATACCACATTAGCAGTTAGGGTGACCCAGTAGAGACCCCCACTACACAAACACTAACATAAAGAGAAGAAAATTCTACCCTCTAGTGGTCTTTGATCAACTGACCAGGAAGCAGGTGGGATGGGGCAGCCATTATGGTGCTGGACATTCTCAACACCCCTCTGGGTTCCTATTTTCACTTGAGACCAGAAAACCAGTCCCAGTCCTGGTCACAACAGGCTAAACAGCCTCAGGCCCCTCACCTGAGAGGCCAGCAGATTCACCTCTGCCCTGTTGGCTTCTCTGGGCTGAGTCAGGAATGAGCTAAGTGAGGCAGCAGTGAAATCTTTCCTGTTCTAGAAAGGCTGGAGGGGACCAAACGCGCCCTCCAGCTGAAGAGCTGACAAAGGCAAGCCCTTCCAGGACAATTTTCCTGGCTCTTACCCCAAATGCTCCAATAGAACAATTTGAGTGTGTCCCTACTTGGGACAGAGAGGATTTATCTCCTCAGCACCTTCTGTGGGCCACCTCTTGCATGTGTCTCTAAGATTTTTCCAGACTCTGGAGTAGTGTCAAGAAGTCACTGGCCAGGACCCAAAACTTCAGGTTTAACCATTCCCCTCGCAGGTGGGGGGCAGCCCTTTGTGACAGCCCCACCCTTGCCCCCCTTGCTGACCTTTGGCCTTGGCTTTGGTCTTGGGGGTGCAGGGCTTGGTCACGCGGATGGTCTCCTGGCACTGGGCATTGTAGCGCGCCTTCTTCAGGGTGCCTTGGCGGACTTTGGTGCCTGTGCCCCCATCACACGCCCCCCAGCTCTCAAACTTGTATTTGCAGTCGGCTGGCGGAAGAGTGGCCCCGTCAGAGCCAGGCGGCCTGTGGCCTCGCTCCACATGTCTGCCCAGGTTCCCGTGCGGCGGTGGCCCCTCTCCTGCCCTCCGCCTGCGTCCCACCTCACCTCCAAACTCTTTCTTCCAGTTGCAGGGCACCCTGCAGCGGCTGCGCTGGGTCTGGGTCCCGCAGGTGCCCTCGCGGAAGCCCACGCCGCAGTCCTTGCTGCTGGGGGTGCAGGGCCCCCAGGTCCACTCCGCGCACTCGCTCCCAGGGCCGCCCTTCTTCACCTTGTCTGCAAAGCGTGGGGAACAGAACTCAGGGCCCGGGTGGGGCGCGGGGAGACTCCCTAGGGACCGCCTTACTGGGGTTCCGGGCTCCGGGCCTCACATGCCCGTCCCCAGCCCTCCTTCAAGCAGCCCCCCATCACCTTTCTTTTTGGCCACCGCGGAGGTGAGCGCCAGCAGGGCGAGGAGGGTGAGGAGGAAGAAGCCTCGGTGCTGCATCCTGGGGGGAGAGCACGGGTCAGAGTCCCTCGCCTGTCCCCTTCCCCACTGGGGGCCGCGTGCCTGGACTTCCCACCCCAGCTCGCCCCATTTTCCAGGCCCAAGAGTCGGACCGCTAAGGGGGTGGCCCCTCGCTGCTAGTTGGGGCGCCCCGCCGGGAGGCGCCTCCCTGGGGGATGCCAGGAGCCCAGGGCGCAGCTCAGCCCCCCACCCCCGCCTCCAGGCCCGGGTCGGCAGCGGCCAGGCCGGCGAGGGGCAGCCGCGCGCCCTCCACCGCACCGCGCGCTCACTCGCTCGCCGCCCGCGCTCCTTCGCTCCCTCCCGCGCCGGCCGGTCCCGTCCCGCTCCGGCCGCCGCGGCCCCTTTTGTCTCCAGAACCGGTCTGAGCCGGTCACATGGGCCCCCGCCCCTTCTCCGCCCCCCACCCCACCAAGGGCCCGCCCCGCCCCCTCCCCTCAAACCCGCACCGCCCCCCGACCCGGGCGTCCCCGCCTCCGCCCCCGCCCTGCGCCCCCGGCGCCGCAGCTCCGGCTTCTGGGCGCGTCGCTCCACCGGAGCCCCCGCCCTCGGGACCCGGGTTCTCCTGGCTGCCCATCCTCTGAGCCCGGCTCTCCCGCGCCCAGGCCTCCGTTCCGCCCCAGCACACGCTGCCCCGGCCCAGTCTCGGGCTCCCCCGGCTCCCGCCCTCGGGCCCGTCCCGGGCCGTCCCCTTTCCTTGCAGACGCCAGCGGCCCGACCGCTTTTGGGCTGCAGCTCCCCTAGCCTGCAGCGGAGCCTTAGATGGGGACCAGAAGGGGCACTGAGGGTGGGTCACCGGCGCCCAGGGCCTGTCTCACCCTGTCGGGGCCCGCGTCCCCTCCCATGGCCTACTTGGCCCCCCAGCGCCCCTCGGGTCGTTGCATCCAGTGGGCAGGGAGATGCTGTGCTGTGTTGGGGGGAGCCCGGAGAAGGCCGGGGGCTGGGGTGGGGCGCGGCGCAGAGGGAGCCAGCGCTATCTAGGAGCGCGGGGTGGAGGGGCGATGGGGGCCGTGGGGGAGGAGCCCGCAGCCTGGAATGGGTGAAGCTTGGAGCTTGACAACAGCAGTCTGAGAAGTTCCAGACCCGGCCTCCGTGGCGGCTGAGATGCCACCCCTCTGACCCCGGGGCCTCAGGCCCACCTCCCGCTCTCCCTAACAGGGAAAGCAGCCGAGGCCTGGGGGAGGGGGCGTGCTCAAGGCCACAGGGGCCATTGGGCCACCGACAGGCCTCGCCCTCGCCCCACCTCTCTTTCACTTTCATTGTTAGCGTCCCCGCGGGAAGCGGGAAGCGGAGGAAATCGGCTCCGCCCCCGGCCCCAATGAGGGAGGCAGCCGGGCAGAGGTCAGGAACCAGGCAGGCCCAGGACCCCACCCCAGGCTGGAACGCCCACACCCCCCAGGAAAGGGTCCTGGGTCCAGTGTCCAGTCCCCCACCCTCAGGATAACCCAGCAGCCCCTGCTGCTTCTAGAAGACCTCTCCCGCAAAAGAAGAAAAGCAGAAAGGAAAAAAAAATCCGCTTTACTGAGTCACACCCAGCTGTAAACATGTCACCATGAGACCCCCCCCACCCCAGGCCCCACAGTCCACGAGGAAATGACCGGGTAATGGGGAGGGTCAGGGGCGGGAGCCAAGCGGGCAGCGGCAGGCAGATGCAGCAGGCTTGGAGTTTCCGGAGGAGCCCCGGGGACGGTGGGTCAGGCGGGAGAGGGGGCTGGGTGCCCTGAGACCAGGTGCCCGAGGAAGCCTCTTCCTGAAGGCCTCCCTCCCTCTCCAGCCCCTGAAGTCCTCAGAGTGCATCTGCTGCGGTGAGGGTGAGGCCGCCCTGAAGTGGCCCTGCCCTGGTCCCTTCCAAAGGCCTGTCCAGCCCAGCCATTTCCTGTTCCCCCGTGAGCCTCCGGGTCCGGCTGGGGCTTCAGGGGGACAGGCGAGACCCCCAGCTCCTCAGAGTCCAGCCCTAGGTCTGGGCGGCTCCTCAGGGGGCAGCACGGGGCTCCTTCCCTGGGGCATGGGTCCCCCCGTGGCCATCTGACTGGAATGTGGCAGTGAGGTGGGCAAGGAGGGAGCTCATCCTCTGGCCCGACTGTCCCTCCTACTGCCCAGGGGGGCCTTCCAGCTACACGGCTGTCTCCTGGTCCTCCCGCTGGATCATCTGGTAGTGCTGCCGGTTCTCCAGGTAGGCGGCCAGCTCTGTGTCCTGAGCCTTCTCCGCTCGCTGCCGGGGAGTGTCGCCCTGAATGAGGGCAGAGCGGTGGTCAGCAGGGGACCCGAGTCTTGTGGCCCCTCACAGGCTTCAGAGAGGGCAGGGAAGGCCTCGCTGGCCCAGCTCCCGGCCTGCTGGCTCAAGTTTCTCTGGACCGTGTGAACGGAAGGACAGCAGGACAGCTTCCACTTCCCAGGGGCAGCCCCGCCCCAAGTTTGGGAAAGGCTCCCTGCCCCTGCCCTGCTCACCTGCTGGTCTGTCTTCATGAGCGAGGCCCCGGCCTCCACGATGTAGTGGCAGATGGTACGCTGGCCCAGGGCCGCCGCCTGGTGCAGACAGGTCTCCCCGCTGGGGGAGCAGGGGCTGGGTGTGGACCCCATCTGGTCCTCTGGGCCCGCCCGGCTCCCAAGGGTCATCAGAAAGGACAGGAAGTTCGGGCCAGGAGATGAAAGACATGGCTAGGAAGAGTTTACGGGCTCTGGCCTGACCAAATGGGAGGGACTGGAGGAAGACAGGGTGGTTTCCAGGGTAACCAGGTCCTGCACTGCCCAAATACTCACTTTTCCTCCACTGCATCAAGGATCTCTGAGGGAGCTAGAGGAGGGTGGGGGGGGGTGGTCAGAAAGGCCCAGCAGCCTCCCATCCTCCCGCCTTGGCCCCTAACCCTGGGCCCCAGTAGCACAGCTCACCGTGGTCCAGCAGGTAGCGGACCACTTCCTTGCTGCCGGTGCTGACCGCGTGGTGGAGGAGCGTGCGGCTCCGCTCGTCCCGGTGCATGAGGTCACCCCCAGCTCGGTGTAGCTCCTGGAGCTGAGGGCAGGAGGCAGGGCAGGGCTGGGCCTCCAAGCGCCACCCTTCCTCTTCCCCTAGCTCTCACACAGGCCACAGGCATGTACACCTTGTCACTGGAGAGACAAGGGCCTCTCTCACCCCGGGCTCCCCTGTAGCACTGACAGCCAAGCCCTGCAGCTAGTGGTTCCTTCTAAGACTCGCTCCTTTCTGAGCACTGGGGAGAGGCAGCCCCTACTGGGAGAAATCTATCGTGGCCTGGACAGAGATGGGGCAAGGTGGAGTGGGACGATCACTGTGGGAGCCCCACAGAGCGCTGGCGATGACAGATGATGGCACCTAAGCAGGTCAGCTCCTGGCCCAATGCAGAGGCCCCACTCCCCAGGCCTGAGGGTGCTGCCCAGGGGAGGAGGCTGGAGCCCTGGAGCTGGTACCTTACAGAAGTCGTTCCTCTTGGCAGCCTCAATCAGCTCTTCACCTGCACAGAACACCTGCCTGTTACTCTGCGGGCGGAGGCCCGGGCTCGTGCTGGCGCACAGACACACGTGGGACACGTCACAGGTATGTGCAGAGAAGTGTGCCTGCCAGGGCCAGTGTGCCGGGGCCGGGCTGCCACGTAGGCGTGACCACGTGGAGTGGCAGCTGTGTGTGTGCGAGGCTGTGTGCGGGCCCTGCCCCACCCTGCTGAGCCTCACGCCTCTGACCGGGCGGAAAGGGGGGGCCCTGGTGGGAGAGGCCTCACCTTGGGGGGGGGCAGCATCCCCTGGCAGTGACCTGCAAATAGAGCAGGATGAGATGTGACTGGCGACAGCACAGGCCCAGCTGGTGTCCCTCCCCAGCCCCGACTGGGGTGTCTTTCATTCTTCCAGCAGTTTATTGAGCGCCTACTACATACCAAGTGCTAGTCTAGGCACTGGAGATACAGCAGGGGGCAGATGGAGAACTGGCTCTCACGGAGCTTACATTCTAGCGTAGGGAGACACGCGAGTCAACAAATAAATAAGGTGTCCTGAGAGCAGAACGGGGCAGTGCAGGGGACAGTCTAAGGGAGAGTGGCCGCTTCATGTGGCATTCTGGGGAAGACCTCTCAGAGGGGGACACAGCCCAGCTGAGACTGGAATGGAGGGCAGCAGGGACAAAAGTCCTGGGGAAGGCCAACCTGAGACCTCAAAGGACCAAGGGACGTGAGTGAGGCTGGACTGTGGGGTGGGGCACAGGCCACTCCCATCTGGCTGGGAGGCCAGGGACAGCCAGGCCCAGGCTGAGCCCAATGCCGTGACTGGTGCTGAGGAGAACCCAGGACTGAGGGCTGCTGGCAGAGAAGGCTCTGGGCTAGGGACGGGCCTGCTCCCACCTGCATTTTCAGGAGGCCACCGGGCCAGAGGGGCATGGATGAATGCGGGGAGTCCAGGAGCTGGGGCCAGGGCGTGCTGGCTTGGGCAGGCTAGCAGCCGTGAGTGAGGGAGTGCTTGGGGGTGCGGGGAGGGTTGCTAGGACCTGAAGGGTAAGGTGGGACACGGGGAGGAGAGGGGTCTGGCAGGGAGCCCGGGTCTATGGCCTGAGCAGCAGCGTGAGGTGAGGCCAGGGGCTCTTCAGGGAGGCTTTGGCCAGGTTCAGGCTGATGCCATTTAGTCACCCAGGTGGAGGGGCTGGGGCTGAAAGCCAGGGATAGCGGGGCCAGGGCACCGGGACTCACCGGGGCGTGGGAGAGCAGGGTGAGGTGGGGAGAGGGGAAGTGGGGGTTGGGAGGTCAGGCCGGGCAGATGCCCCCAGCAGCTCAGGGTCCAGGATATAAATCTCGTCCTGCGCAATCTCAGTCACGTAGTTGAGGTGTTCCTGTGAGGGGAGGTCGGGCTGGTGTCAGGGGCAGTGCTAAGGGGCGGCGAGGCTGGCAGACCTGAGGAGCCCAGGCCATGAGCATGAACTCGAGGGAAGCAGCCAGGCAAGAGCCCCTGCCCGCCCTCTTCCCCTCCTGTCCGTTCCTGCTACCCCTGCCCAGTGCCTGGCCGCTGTACTGGCCCCTGCAGTCTTGCCCCACTGCCAAGCCTTCACTGTGGTGCTCTGGCGTCTGGCCAGGGGTGCCTTCTCTGTCTACCTGGATAGCACTGTGCTTCGAGGCCCTCCCGCCCACCCAGCAAGCCTTTTCTGGGTACATCAGCTCCCTTTTCTATTGGCGCCATCCCCGCACACTCCAGCCTGGAGGGCAGGGCCACGCTCTGAGGACATAGCCAAGTGTGGACGCACTGTGGGATGTGTGGACAGGAGGACAGAGGTGAGCCCGTCTGTGGAGCTAACAGGGAGGTCTTCCCAGGAGGGGTGACTTGGGGCTACAAAGCCAGCTGCGGCTAGAGCAGGCCTGCGAGCACTCACCTGGGCGCGGTCGATCCTGTAGAAGCGGCTGGCAGTGGTGGCTGCGGAAGAGAGGGCTGGCTGAGGAGGGAGGTCTCGCCCAGGCCCAGGTCCTCTGCTGCCCCACCCCAGGTTCCCCAGGGAGGGTGCAGGACAGAGCCTCAGAGGACTGCCAGGGGCTGACCCTTCAGAGCAGACTCACCATCCAGGAAGCACCACTTAGGGGACAGTTTCTGGCACGTAGGAGACTTGGCTCCAGCACCATCGGGTTCCTGCTGAGAGACACAAAGGCCAAGCTGGGAGGGAGGGAACTTGGAGCAGGTTGGAGCAGCATGGAGGCGGCCCCCAAGGGCAGGCTCACTTGGGGAGGACAAGTCCAGGCCTCGCTTCCCACCACCCTCTCAGCCGGCACCCAGGAAGGCTCCTGCCCCCGTCCCTTACCTGCTGGAGCCTCTCGATGTGGGCGCGGCAGAGCTCCAGGTCGCTGTCTCCGGGGACCACCACAGTGCCCAGTGGCACAGCTTGAAGACAAAGCAGCTGTCAGCAGCGAGCTACAGCCACCCCTCTACGCTCAGGGGGCCCTGCAGCTCCTCAGCCGCCTGCCCCAGCCCTGTTGCCACTCACAAGCCTCCTTGAGCTGCTCCTTGTCATAATGCAGGGCCTCGTAGTCGTGCATGCTGACCCTGCTCACTTGGATCCGCAGCTGCTCGGGCACCGGCTGCTGGCTGTCGGGCAAGGCCGGAAAGAGGGGACTCAGCAAGGGCAGAGCCGGTCCTTGGCCAGGCAGCAAACCAAGTCCTGAGAGGACGTCCTGCCCCGCTCCCAACAGCCCTGGGCAGAGGGACTGCCAGCCCCCTTTTAAGGGTGAGGAAATGAAGGCCCAATGGGGGCCGAGTCTGGCCTTAGCGCCCACGGCACGTGTGGCAGGTGTGGGACGTACTCGCTGTGCAGCGGGGCAGCGCTCCGCCGCTTGGCCTTCTGCACCATGGTGGCCTGGTTGCGCAGGGCGATGCGAATGCGAGAGGCTGCGAGCTTGCAGGGCTCACCGTCCACCTGCA